TACTTACTGATACTTTTTCTTAACAGGATATATATGAAGCTACTAAGTTCCAGCCTGTTCTATCACTGGATGATGATGCTCCTGCTGACAATCAAATCTATTTCTCTTCATTGAAGTTCAACATCAAACAAGTTTCTGCTAGTATACGGAGCATGTAGGGTGTGATGTCTTACTTGTAGAAGACAAATTTATCTGACACTAAATCTATATTTTTCCTTTTCTGATCATTATGGTTCAAAATTTAAGTGGTTGAGTTTTGGAAATCATTCTTGTGATTAAATCTACACGCAACTGTTTCAATAGCCTTTCTCCTTGTTCTTTTAAAGATTTAGCTCTCCTCAAAAGCGTAACCTGCCAACCTGGGGATCTACTTTGAATTAGAAATGGACAAGCAATTGAGACAGTTTGTCAATCTGCCTTCCACTACAAATCTTGGGTTTGAGATACCTACGACTTTGTGCTCGAAGTGTTGCCATCATCTCATAAACACTTCATATGAAGCTAATTGGGCTGAAGTTCCTTACTTTATTTGCCACCTCTTTCTATGGGTTCATAGGATACACTTCATACAAAGTTGCTTTTCTTTGAAGCCTCTCCCTTTCATTTACATATGTCAGTGATGCCTCTGGTGTTACTGAATACAACAAATAGACTAATCAGTTCAAAGACAATATGTGTGTTTGTCTTTTCTTGACCCTTGGCCTGATACCTATTTTATGAAGTACATGGAATTGACCTGAAGTGAGTTGGAATCGATTAACATGGGGAATGACGATTCATAGTCGACCTCACTTGTTCCAGATTTATAGTTGTATTGATTTATGTTATGGTGCACTCACAAGTTGCTCTTCTGTTTTATTTTCTAGGAAGCTGGGTTATGCCGTTGCCAATTTGGTACTTGAAGGGATTTCTGTTGGGTGTGAGACTTGGGAGGAGACTGCTGTTATCATTGGTGAAATAAACTCGGTCAAGATGCTTAATCCATTCAACAAACAAGTCGTTTTACGAACAAGGGTTAGTCTATGTTAAAGAAGTTAATATTTTTGAGTGACATGTCCATATTCATGTTACTTCCCGTTGCACATGTAAGTTTAGTGGTTGCGCAAGTAATATTGTGGTTCTAAAAGAGCTAGATTATCAAATCCAAAGGATTTGTCGATTAACTATTCTAATGAATTATACTAGTCTAATTATTTATTCAAGCGTGCCAAAAGAGTTTAATTTATAATTGAATATTAAGAATGCAAGAATAAAACAATAAAATTACTTACAATAAGTGGTATAATTCCAGGGCTGCAGTATGCTTAAGGTATCACATTTTATGCATGAATTAACTACGCTTATCAACCAACATGGGTTGTGGTATATTGGTGGGAGTGTTTTACCCTTAACCAGAGGTCTCGGGTTCAAGCTCTGGTATGGTGAAAATCCTGTTGGGAGCGCTACCCCCGAATGGGCCCTGCCACAGATTTAGTCGGAGCTCCAATGTGGGTTGTGGATACCGGGTGGGAAATAAAAAAAACCACAGTTATCAAATTACTTATTTATAAGGTAGATTTTATGATCATGATCTCTCGACCTCTAATCTCGTACTCCAGTTGACTATCTAACGACATCGAGAGCAGGGGCGAACAATAGTCAATTCATAAGCATTTATATTTCATCCCGTTTAGTAATCAAGCTCAGTGTTCATCTGAGTGTCAATCCTAAATATGAATCTGAGCAAGTGGTATGTAAGAGAGATCGAACTCTTTGTATTCTTTGGTCTATATACCTTTCCGTCTCTCGAGTTCAAGAATACACAATATATTTATCTCTATATTGATTAAACATGAAATACTATAACAAGAATAACAAAGTAATTTAAGTGACAACCAACATTAATTCAAAACAATCAATGTTCAACAATTACCCGTAGCTACAACTCCAGAACAAGGGTCTTGAGCTACTAATGTCTAATAAAATAAGAAAAAGAAAAAACCCCCTAAAAAGTAGTATTTGTAGATGTAGAAATCCCTAAATAAAATAATTTAGTCCAAAACAAATTGAGAACCGAAAACAAACAGGAATTGGTTTCAAGATGAAACAGTCCAACCGCCTTAACAATTAGCGTCTTTCATCAATTGGCAAGTGCCTTCAGAAGTTGCTACATGTCAATGAGTAACGGCCATCAATTTGCTTTCTTTAATTTCAGGAGACCTTTTTTTTCATATATATTCATTCTATAATCTTCCATCTTTAATTCATTTAGCTCCAAACTTCTTCATCTTTACGCCAATTTACTTCTACAAATAAAATACACTATTTAACACAATTCATAAAACTCATGCTCAAAAAGGAAAAATACAAATAATTATTAAAATATATATTTTTGGCCTCACATCAAAAAGATTACTGTCTTGATAACAATTTGAAATCTTTCCTTGTGATAGTTCCACTATACTCATTTTGTGGCTCATGAATGTAATGGAAAAGGGTCAAAAATGCCCTTTAAGTAAGCCAAATTAAATAAAAATGCTCTCAATTAATAGTCCGGTCTTATAATGTCTCTGCCGTAAATAGTTGTGCATCTTTGATCCCTTATGAACTAGGTGGCTAGTTAATTGCCTCTATGTTTGCTTGCATTTATGCATACACATCACTTCTTGCAACTAATTAAAATAATATTTGATTATAAACTGTTATAGCTTATAATGCTTTGGTTAACTTAGGTAAATTCTGATCGAGGAAAGCCCAAAATTCATCAACCTTCTCTAAGTTTCCAACTTGACATGTCGCGTCTAAAACTGGATTCTACTTTATCTGTAAAGGTATTGTCATCTTCTTTGCTTTTACAATATTTAAGTCAGTTGGAAACTTTTTATTATCACCACAATGTTATGCAGCTGTTATAAGTTATTTAATTATTGAACAGGAGTTTTTTCAGAGATTGACATCCTATAACTTTGTATAAACAGGCCTCTGTCCAGCCACTTCAAATTAGTTGTGATCTAGAATGTTTCAAGAATATTATGAGTCTTTCTTCCCTTTTGGAACACTCTTACTCTCTGCAGGACAGGGTAAGTATTCAAGCTGTTGTGATTGTTTTACATAGAACTCCATAAAATTTGATACTTCTGAGATCTCTGGATAGTCGTCTTATTTTCACTTTGGCCTCCAGGTTTATCCACTGATCACCAAAATTCCGTTCATTGTATAACATACAAGTTACTACTTAAAACATGACATTTTGTTTAGTGGTGTTCAACGTCATTGTGTTACATTCATTTGGTAATTGATTTCTGATTGCCTTTATATCATTTTGCATGAATGTTTCTTATCATAATGAACATCATACAATGGGTGTTCTAACACTAACAGTGACAGAGAACATCAATTTACTTTGCGATTCGGAGCTAATGCAACAAGTATAAGGGTGCAGAAAAGATGCATAAAGTAAGTTTGTGAATGGATACAGCTATTAGTAGAAGTCAAGGACAATGTCTATATAATATCTGTAGAAACAGAAAATATATAGATATTCTAGAATTAACTTTCTTGACTAGTTCTCCTAACACCGGGCACATCTTCTATAAGTTACGGCGTAAACTAATCAGATCTCATCTTTAAAACAAAAATGTAATTTAGCCAGAATACTTGGGAGAACTTTGATGATTTTTAACTCAGATTCTGACTTGTATAACTGTTAAGAGTCCCACATCGGTGGGTTAAGGGCTTTTTGGTCTCATTATATGGTCTTGCGCAAAGCTGCCCTAATTTTTGGGATTGAGTGAGCTCCCAAGATTCATTCTTTAACAATGACTAACTTATAAGTTACATACGAGCATATCCTCAAACGTAAGTTAAGAAAGAAATTTGCTTACTTTGAATCAGAGAAAATAGTTGGCAAAATAGTACTGATGGAGCCCTTGGAACAACTTATTGGAAGTTCACAAGAATGTTGCTAAAATGTTATACCAATTTTTGTGGTAGCATCTCCTTTTTATGGTCATTTTTGCAACTTCTTTTTAGGAGATCTTTTTAACTATACTATTTTTTCTTAAATCTCCAAACAAAAGATGCAAAAATTGACCAGAATAAGGCGATGCCTTTGTAGAAGTTACAGGTAAGGGCCCAAATACTATTGGAACATTCACCTAATTGTCGCCAAAACAATCTTTTGCAATAGACATTGGTGTCAGACGATCACTAGAAATAGGCATCGTGACTTAGAAATGATCAAAAGATGTACACTGCTGGGATTGTCAGTGCGAATGAGAGTGTTATCGGAATGGTTACTTAGAAAAGAAGCAATCCCAGAACAGTCACCAGAAAAGAGAAAAGTGAATTCATGAAAAAGGAAAATTTTAGAGAACCTGATTACTGATGGATATGCTTTACGTCTCTACCAAAATCGTAGATGCCCTGATATCATGTTAGGAAAATGAAAGAGAGGACAGACATTGATTATTTGATGAATGTGTAACCAAATTATAGATGTCAAACACAATGTGGAACAATATTCAACTTTAAAATTGAACCGTCTTCTATTAAAACTCTTTTAACTTTCAAATACCTAAACTAGTCGTTACATTGTTTAATAAGGCAAGGCTTTACATGCTAGATGCTGTTGTGACTTGATAGTGTTCCGTGTTACAGATTCTGTCATCCATCAACAAAATTCAAAATACGACTGCACGACTTCAGACTAAAATTGAGTAAGTATATCAAGAAAGCTCATCTAATTAGTAGATATTCTTGCCTCCTAGTCAAAGACATGAATTTTACTTTTATATGCGATATGATTATACTGATCCAAATCAATTTGATATCCATGATAATTGTGCTGCCTTGCTGCTCTTCCTATGTTTTATGTCTCTCCGCAGGCATGTCTTATCAAATCGCAAGACTGTTACATGGAATGTCCATATATTGGGTATTGCCATCCTTGTTCCTGGTGGAGGTGCAGATTCTGACATGCCGAAAATGGTAATTCTTCCATGCCATTGTTGGTGCATTATCCCTATTACCCCATTATTTGTCCAATGTCCTTCAGTTCTTCACTTGCTCCAGGGCTTTCTTCCTACCTTGTTATTCTTTCTAGGTCCGAAACAGCTCATATTTTCTATTCAAGTTGGGTAGATTTGATTTGCAGTTCCCAACCATATGTATATTTGTGTTGTGTTCCCTAAATGAAGTTGTAGTTTAGAGGATTTCACATCTACAAATTTGGGACTGTTTAGAGGAGATTTTGATTTGGTCCAGTGTTGTGGACGGCGAGAGGCGACAAAAGGCGACAAGGGCCTGCCTCGCCACGCGGCGAGGCGCTTGCCTTTTTGAATAAAGGCACCAATTAATACCAAAAATTAAAAATATTTAATTGCATATTTTATCCAAAGTCTTAATAGCAATAACACATATTAACAAATATTCAACTCAAAAACCAATAGAATGTCTAAAACTTTAAAGACCAAACAATTCAAAATACAATAAACCAAAACTTTAAAAGTCTATTCTTCTTCAAATTATCTGACTCTTGACGATCAAAATCTTCTACATCATTATATTGCTCTTCATCTTCTTCCTCCTCGTATTCTTCATCAATTAGTGTCCGAGTCCTACTTGAAGATGAACTTAAAGATGTACTTTCTACTCCTTTGCCCTTGTCAAGTATTGTTGATCTTGAAGAAAGTCCCCTAAGATGATAGATACTCTCGTCCGCTCCAATTGTCGTAGCAACACTACCCCAAGTAAGATCATCATCCTCATATACTAGTTCATCATCTTGATCTTCGGGGCATCCAACTAACCATTCGTTGGAATCATCTATGTTATCCAAGCGAATTGGATCAATAAGATCACGAGCATCATAACGGCGTTTCAATGTTCTATTGTACTTAATGTACACTAGATCATTGAGACGCGATAGTGTAAGCCTATTCCTCTTTTTGGAATGAATCTGTGCATAAGTTATTGATATTAACTAGTTGATATTGATAATAATATAATATGAAAAATAGGATATAAATTTTTACTTG